GCTGACTGGGCGGTGGTTTACGCGACCGGTCCCAACAAGCCAATGCACCCGAGCTACGTCTTTCATCCTGCCACAAAGATGGCGGCCAAGGACTACGAGATGGCCAACTGGTACTGCTCTACGAGTCCGTTCCCCAACATGACGCAGTATGCCATCGTTGCCCGGCGCACTGGAAAGCAACTGCTGACCCTGCGCAACAGGTCGTTTAGTGTCATTGAGAACGGATGTGTCGTTGAGAGTCGCGCTATCGAAGACCACGAGCTCCTCGACTTGCTGCGTGACCGGTTCGGCTTGGCGCCGTAGACACTAGTTATGGCCTAAAGAACCCTAAAAAGGCTTGGAAAAATGAGTGTATGTCTGTTACGGCTGGGATCCGCGATCCAGCGCGTGTGTTCTCTTCTCCATGACAACTTGCAGTTCAAGATGAAGTTCAAGTTGCTAAGCCTCTACGAGCGGGTTTAGGTTTAGCTTTGTAAATGGTCGATCGAATTCAGTTTTCCTTTTGCCTCCAAGCTCAAGTGTCCAACAATGTCCTCCTTGTGTACACACATTATCGATGAGCACGAGACGACGTCGTTGGACGCAACATTTCTCTAGGAGCTACTGTATCTGTGTTCCGATGGCGTTTCTGTTTGTCTTTGTCAGTACATGTTCAGACTGACATGGTCAATGGAGGAACAATGTACTCCATTCCCTTGGGCAGATATCCTAGCATGATGTAGTAAACGCGCAAAAGCGGCAGCTCAAATGGGGCATTTTCCCATCTCTTCTATGGCGCCTAGTGGGTAACGTGAGCGCAATAAAGCAAGGTTGAACACAGTGTGTCGATGCTGACAACGTCACATAGCAAAGCGTTCAAAAATCACCGAAATTTCCAGGGCCAATTTGCTAGAAACCGAGTTTGAATCGAGACGTTCTCGCCACCATTATATTATCTTTTTCTAGTGCTCTTGAAATGCTATAGCTGCCTTTCTAGTCCGTGCTGAGAGGTTGAAGTGGTGTGCAACGCACAGGTCCCATATCAATGGTTTTGCAATCGATCTATGCATTGAAAGAGGTTATTATCTCTCGCAAGCACGGCTATACGACTTGTGATTGGGCAAATTCGAGTGTATGGCGCCACTGGACCATACGTGGCAGTCGAGTCAGTAGAGTAGAGTCAAATTTGATGTAAATGGCCCCATGTACTTCGTAGTAAAGGTTGTGAAAACGCGAGGCCATAGATTCGCGCCTGTCTCCTGTACCAATGCTCTGGAGCGCAACAAGCCCCAGTTGAGTTCAGGCAACTACAATCGCTAGATCTGGCTTCCGCGCTACCTGTTAACATCGCATTTTTCCATGGCCAATTTTATGGAAATCACTGTTATCTGAGAGCCATTATTCGTCATTAAAGTCCATTTTCTATCGCTTTTGATGCTCGTACCATGCGTTAACGGGTGTGTTGTGGTTGGTTGAAGCCACGTCGCACCGCCCGCGAGAAGTTCAAGGTCGTTGGAATGTGTGCGTACATTGCTAAATGATCTCAACACTCAAAAACACATTTTTGACAGCTTGTACGCGTCGAAACACCGAGCTTGGCCGCCATTAACTTGCACGGGCAGTCGCAGCTTGTTTCGCGTCCTGTGAGCCAGTTTTGATGTAAATCGGCTCAATGTATCTCGTCGTATAGGCTATGAAAAGGCTAACAAAACATGATCTACTGCCTGTCTTGAATTGGAAAGCTCTCGACGGTCATAGTGTACCGCTAAACACGCCACTCTAAAGCAGCAATTCTCCCGCGTCAACGGTGCAAAAACCACTCAAATAAATTCCATTATAATCGAATTTGAATCACAACGGTACTGTGATCCCTCTTGTCACTCTGTTGCTGCTCTAGACATCTATAAGCTGCCGTTCGTGGTTGCGCTGCCAGGTTGAAGCCACAGAGGTGAGCCCTGAGGCCTTCAACCTGTCAAACCCAATGTCATCCATGCATTTTGAGAGGATATCATACCAGAGAGACCGAACCGTGGCGTCGACTCTTAAACATGGCAAATGCCACTATTCATGACACATAAATTGGCACGTGCCAGGTTTAGTGCTACTAAATATGGCATTCCCAGATTTGACTGGCCATTCCAAACCATGTTGCGGCAACTCGTCTCGGCGCGGTCCCGCGCCCGCGTACTGCTGGCCGCGCGGAGCTTTGCGTCGGCGCCCACCGACATTGCCAAGCTGCGCAACATTGGCATCCTCGCCCACATTGACGCTGGGAAGACGACGACGACCGAGCGCATGCTCTTCTACTCGGGTAAAACTTCAAGCGCATGGCAGGATGACCCTAAGTCGCTACATATAGGCGCCATCACGCGCATGGGCGAGGTCCACGACGGCGACACGACCATGGACTTCATGCCGCAGGAGCGCGAGCGCGGGATCACGATCGGGTCGGCGGCCATCTCCTTCGACTGGAAGGACCACCGCATCAACCTCATCGACACGCCGGGCCATGTCGACTTTACCATCGAGGTCGAGCGCGCTGTGCGTGTGCTCGACGGCGCGGTTGCCGTCTTTGACGGCGTCGCCGGCGTCGAAGGTATCGGCTCATCCTTGGCGACAATAGCGTCGTATCACACGTTTCGTAGCCCAAACCGAGACAGTCTGGGAGCAAGCCGACCGGTACAAGGTCCGCGCCTGCCTTCTTGTCGACGCCTGCAGCAACACGCAGCTTGTAGGTGCCCCGCATTGCGTTTGTCAACAAGCTGGACCGCGAAGGCGCCTCGTACGACCGGACGTTGGCGATGATTGAGCAGCGGTACGGTCCGGGTCGCGTGATCGCCACTTCAAGTCCGGCAACAACACTAGATTCAACGTCGTGGCGCTTCCGATTCAAATTCCGATGGGCGAAAACAGCGAGTTCTATGGCGTCGTCGATGTCATTACGATGGAAATGCTCACGTGGCATGGCGGCGACGGCGAACAAGTCCGCCGGTACGAGCTTCGAACCTCGCTACAGCAGTTTATTTTTTGAGCTGCGTAGGCTGCCGCTGCTCCCAGTGACGGGCAATGAGAAAATGCAAGCGCTCTACGCCAAGGCCGCGGCGGCGCGTGCTGCGTACGACGACATTGCCCTCTTTCATGACGTGTACAGAATTGTCTATTAGGTTGGTCGAGAAGGCCTCTGATTTCGACGACGTCCTCGGTGACCTCTTTCTCATGGAAGAGGACGTTGATGATGCGACGCTCAAGGCGGCGTTGCGCCGCATCACGGTGCGCAAGCCCGACGACGCGCCGCGAGCTGTCTTGACTCTCTGCGGCAGGTGCAAGTCCCCGCTTCGATCCTCGCAGTCCGAGTGTTTGCTATCGATGATTAGTGCGCTCAAGAACAAGGGTGTCCAGCCGCTTTTGGACGCTGTTGTCGACTACTTGCCGTCGCCCGCCGACCCGTCGAGCTCGCCCTTTGAGGCCACGCAAATCGACAAGAATCACACGGTGCTCAAGACCCTCCAAAAAGAGGCCGACGCTTCGAGCCCGCTCTCGCTCCTCGCGTTCAAGGTTTGTCTATCGAGATATTGGGCACGGCTGAAATACGGTGACACATAGGTCAAGCACGACCGGCAGCGCGGCCCGATTGTGTTCTTTCGTGTTTACTCGGGCACGCTCAACGCCAAAGCGCAGCTGCTCAACACGACGCGGTACGTACTTGGAGCTTCCATAGTGACAATACGATCTTAGCCCATGCCTAGGAATGCCAAAGAGCGCATCACGCGCCTCATGCAAGTGGCGGCCGACGAGGCCGACGAAGTTGAGCTCATCACGGCTGGCAACATTGGCGCGGCCGTCGGGCTCAAGAACACGTACGATACATCGTCATTTTGACGAATTGAAGGCTCATGGTGTGCTGACTAGGTTTACGGGGGATACGCTAATCGCAGCCAGCGACAACACGCGTCTCGTGCTTCCCGGTGTCGAGATTCCGGCGCCGGTATCTTCTTCAGGCATACCGAGCGTTAGAGGACGACATGGACGGCGTAGGTCTTTACGTGCTCGATCGAGTCGGACTCGCTGAGCCGCCAAAAGGAACTCGACGAAGCGCTCCAGCATCTCCAGCGGGAAGACCCGAGCTTTGTGGTGACGCAAGACGAAGAGACGGGCCAGACACTGGTGGGTGCTCGATAGTTTTGAATTTTTCTTATTTTTTGTTTAGATGAGCGGCATGGGCGAGCTGCACATGGAAATCCTCCAGGATCGGCTCAAGACCGAGTACAAGCTCAACCCGTCCGTGGGCAAAATGCGCGTCGCATACCGCGAGTCGATCTCGGCCACTATTGACGTACGCCTTTTGTATAAAAGGGTTAGGGTTATGAAACCTTAGCCCTGTTTCGCCAATGACTAACGAGAGTGGTAGCACGAGTTTCGGTACGATACGATGCTGGGCACCGACCGGCAGTTTGCCAAGGTGGCCTTTACGCTGGCTTAGTGTCATTGAGAACGGATGTGTCGTTGAGAGTCGCGCTATCGAAGACCACGAGCTCCTCGACTTGCTGCGTGACCGGTTCGGCTTGACGCCG